GGTATACAATACCGTACTGTACCGAGAGAAGGCCGAAACTCCGGTACGATACGATATTTCAATCCTTGGTACATTGACCCTCCCCAAACCCATAATGGGGAGAGCATCATGCATTGGGTATATCATTTTTTATGAAATTGAGAGAGAGCACTAATGACAATAGGGTAGTGTCCATTTATCACTCTTGAGAAATAGTTATGACAATATGTGGCAAGTTTCTATAATGGAAATAGGTTATAGCTTCTATTAGGAAACACGCATTGGTCAATTTTTCATATGACTATACAAGTTCCTGTTTTCAGATTGATTTCCCTATTCTCTTGAAGAGAAACTGTTACAAAGCAGAAGTGATGTGCTTGTCTAATAGCATGGCTACACATTTTTGAAACACATGTGGGATTGTTATAGTGAAAGAAAAAATTTGAGAGACATCGAGGAAGCTCTTCCAATGATTTGTGTTTTTGTGCAAAGGCTGCTAACCTGTACTTAAGTCAGCAAGAAGTGATGGTTCATTTGAGGTTACCGCAGGTCAAGAAAGCTCTTTCTTGTATGTTGGAGTTGTGCCATTGGCATATAAGTTCTTATTTCCTATTTATGCTTTTACATATGCAGCTTTCCACTCCAGCTTAAGATAATAAGAACTACTTCATATGCTTGTCCTCTAACTAGGCAAGACAACCTATACGTCCTGTGCAGCATCTAGATGCACACTGGTTCCATTAGGGTAGGTTCTCTCCTATTTGAAGTTCCATTATTGTTGGGTTTTGTGCACATGTCTCTCAGGAAATGGCATAGGGTATGATGTGCCCCCGAATGTGGCAAATGGAGCAGCATTAGAGAATGGCTTATGGCCATCATGCTGCAGATATTAGCATTCTTTGATGAACAAAAAAATGCATCTACACAGAGGTATACAGTTTTATGATTTGTTTGTACCGATCATTTTATGGCACATAACGCATGACTTGCGGCTGTACTGATGATGCCTAATTTATGGTTTAGTGTATGTTGGCAAGTTAGTTAATCTAGTAAGACATAAGTTGTCTGTGAAGATTGGCAGCTCATTAGCTAAGAGAAATTTAAACAATTGTCACTTAGAACGTAGATAATCACTCTAACTTTTGAGTATTTTTGCATTATTGAATTTTCATGGTTTATATATGTTAATTTTATATCAATAAGTTATGGGCTAATGTTTGCCTTAAACTGTGCATATTACTGCATTAAGTTGATTGGTACTACTTGGAACTGGTAGTGTATAGGTATTAGTCTGATCATGATTTGATTAGGCCTTCCTTTACTGTTCATTTTGAAAAACCTAGTATGATTTCACCTTGGAAGGATCAGGAAGCATTGATGTTTTGGGGAACAGAACATATCTGCTTTTCTCAGTTTGTTCTCTCAACTGCCAACCAGATAATCTGCTAAATGCAATATCTTAAGTCAACTGCATGTTTTACATTTTGTTATGGCAGGGGCAGTGGCCAGTGCATCATTGGGAGATTGCTCGGCACGGCTCCCTATTGAAGATGGGTTGGAGAGATGCAAGGCCTTCAGGCTGTACGCCCGAAAAAACAATTTGGCAGTCTTCGCAGATCTCTTTGCATCTGTATCTTGTACGGCTCAGCATGGAAATTTTCAAAGGCTTTTTCTTGATCTCACGAGGTTCAATGCCCGACTAGATTTCCCCTCAGGTTCTGCATTTCTAACCGGGGTTGCACATTTATCACAAGATTTATATAATTCTCGACAACTGAATTTAGAGGCAATCTGTGCTGTTTGTCCAGAGCTGACAGTATCTCTGCAACAACAGGTAACTATTTTTTCTTTAAGTTATATAGAGTTATCTCATGCCTATCCATTGTAGATGCGGTCACAGAAACATGCATGTTACATTAACCTTCTGATATTTTGGCCAACCTATGAAGTCACTTGAAAAGTGCATTTCTTGGTACCACTTTAAAATCTTCTTTGCAGATCACCCTAAATGTTCATTTGGATTGACTTCTAGACTTCTACCGAATAAAACTGTGTGAGATTATAAATAAAATGTGATAAGTATTTAATAGGGGGATTGAAACGTGGAAAAATCCAAAACCAGTGTTGTTGCTTTCATTTTCTACTATTTTTAATAAGTGTTATAAATAAATGGTTGTTATTGGTCGTATCTCACTAACTCAGCATTGCTTGCAGATAACAGATACAGTGAGGTGAAGCATTTATCTATTGGAGGCTTTAGAATGTATATACATAAAATAACAAATTGATTTCTACCTTATTATGCTTGGTTGGGAAAGTGGGTGGGCAAGATGTCCAGTCCTTATGACTAATAAGAAAATGCTGATGATCAGAGATGATTTGAAGTCGTCATTGCTGAGAACTGAAGGAAAGATGAGTAGTACAACTGAATAAAGCTTAGGAGATGTTGCAAAGTGAGAAGTGTATTCTTATAGTTGAATACTGCAAATAATATGGGACTCTGAATTAGCAAAGCAAAGGCATTCATTTGTGGAAATCAGTTGTGAATCTTGTTTGACTTTTCTGCATTCCTAGTGTTCTAGCTCTCTCATTTCAGACTAAGGTTTCAAATAGCAGCCAAACTAATACATACTGATCAGTATGTATTGAGCCAACTGAATAGCATTTCCGGACTATATGGGATCTGTTGATACTCTTTTTGTCTTCTTATTAATGCCAGATGGTACCTGTTATTATTCTAGTATTTTGCTGGTTCAACAAGATATTGAAACCAGTAATGGACAAGGATTTTAAGCCTTGATTCACACTATAATATCTTTCTTTCTTCTAATGCCATTATTAATTAAATTTTCAGGAAAAGACTTTGTCTTTTTCTAATCCAGCATCCATTCCCACATTCTGGTTGGTGTATGATACATTGGCCTAGCAGATTGGCAGAATATAAACTCTAGTGCTCTTTTTAAGGCATGGTCAACTATCACTCGGAGATGACAAAACTTTTGATTTCTTGGAACAGTTGGCTATCTTAAACATTTTCGAAAGCTTTTCTCTATGGTGAACTTTTAATCCAACATTTGGTTTTGACTCCTTTGCAGATTGCTGGGCCCTTCAGCTTTCGAGTTGATTCCAGAATTTTGTTTGACCCAAAAGACAGATACCACATTGCTCGCCTAGATGAGTCCATATTTGCAATTGACTGGGCTTTGAAGGTTCTTGGTTCAGCCAAGGCAACGGCTTGGTACTCCCCGAAACATCGAGAGGCCATGGTGGAGCTTCGGTTCTTCGAGAGCTAAGGAAAATGCATAGTTCTTCCTCGGTGTTTACCTAATCTGTTCCAGAATAGTAATCTCACTGAAATTACAGACCTCAACATTTTAGCACTTGTCCTCCTTGTTTTCCTTTTCTCCCTGATCTAGCAGTTCCGTTGCTCACTCTTATGTTTACTATCCTTTGTGTATCAATGTATGACCAGTTAAAGAGACTGCAATTTAATCTGAGTGTCAAATTGTTTACCACACTGAATTTAGACTTTTGGCTATTTTGTGGACTATTTTATCTCCTTTTTTTGCTTCATGATTTATATCAAGAAGAAGATTGCTTCTTTTGGCTGCCTGAGTTTAGACTCTGCAGCTCTCTTTGTTTCATGGTTCTCTTGATGTACATCAAGAGGAAGATTACTTCTTTTAGCTGACTGTTGACTATTATTTTCTCATTTCTTCTTCAAAATGTGAAGATTCATAGAGGGGTTAACAGAAGCTCTTTCTTCTTGTACATCTGAAGCAGAGCCTTTTGAGATCCTTCCATCGATTTTGGTATGGATTCCTCTGGCTAGTAAAATTTTAACTATCGAGTCGACTTCTTGATATAGAAGTAAGATTGTGTATATTAATCAGAAGTTTTAATGCATTGGATTTATTATCATGACCAATTTTACAGAGAATCAAAAAAATATAGTGTCACATCATGTTAATACAAGTATTGCAATTTGTTCTTATCCAAGCTTATCATATTGGCTTTGATTTATTATTTTGTGTATCACATGCACTCCATAGTAGAGTTTATTAGGTTCGGATATACATAGATGTCATGCATCTGCACCAATTCCAGTGATCGTGATCGCAATTAATATGGTGGCTTTCTCAACCCAAAACCATGCACGATCGTAAAGCTACAGTGCCGAAGGCCCACCGAAAACCGAGTCCCAAGCTTACAATGCACCATTCTCTCTCTCTCTCTCTCTCTCTCTCTCCTGTGCGTCATAATGGACAGATCCGTTGGTTCACAGAAATCTATGGGAATTGTTGTGATAATGTCAATATATATATATATATATATATAACCCTTTTCTCAATGGGAGACGTGAAGTATTCAAACTTTGAAGATATATATACAGTACTTTAACTTTCATTGTCTTCTTTCAGATCAAACAGCAGTGAGAACAGTTCCCATCGCCACACCAACGCAGTCAAATTAATACGTAAGAGCTTCAACTGCCCATCTCTTTGAAGTCTCTCTTGCACTTGGTAATGATTCACCATGGGTTCCTTTCCATGTTTTCCATCACCCGACATATCGCGTCCGTTCAAAGAAGAAGATGACAGCTCGGGAAAGCCATATGCGTGCAGCGACAGAATCCATGACGATGGCCCCTGCGAGGGAGACTTGAGGAGGGATTAGGTTTTCGCTGTTGCCATCTCTATGGAACAAGGCCATTTGAATCGTCCCCGGTTTGTCTCCTGTGACCAACCGGAGTGTCATTTTCGTTGGGTGCAATAATCTTGTTATAATAATAATAGTATATAGATGTTTTTAGAGTATGTGATCCTATTTAATTGGGTGGGATATATTATAGACCGATCTTATCTAATTGGATAGGATATATTATAGATCTGATTAGATTATAATATTAATTATCAATCAATAAAAAAAATTAATTATAATAAGATTTCTTAGGAGATAATTTTGATGAGAGGAACTTTTCTTATTATTTATCTTAGATCCTTTATTTTCGTCTATAATTAGATAAGAGATTATTCTCTGATCTCTTCTATAAGTCACATTAGTCAGTATTTAAAATATTATAAAGATTTTCTCATCCCTTTTATTATTAATCCATCGCTTATAGCTATTTTACAAAGGATGAAAAGAGAGAAGCACAATGACTTTGTAAATCAAATAAATATTTTTTATATGGTATCGAAAGATATGCATTGTAAATTTGATCTATTGTTATTTGATTTTAATTTTTTAATATTAATTTATATATATATATATAATAATGACATATTATGATTTTTATGCTTACAATGTCTACTAGTATGAAGATTTTATTATTTTTTTAGACCTAAATATTAGTTTCACTAGTGCCATATTATAAGATATATGCTAAGCAAATTTATATATATAATCTTTACTATGACATAATAAAATCTTTATCGATTAAGCTATATATCATCTTCGAAAAAATTTTATAGCACAAAGTTTCAAACTATGATATCTCGAACCCATAACTGAGTTAGGTCAACGATCTAACCAAGTAACTGAGGTTGCTTATTTCAAGATTAAGTCTCCCAATATTTCTAGGTTTTAGCTAATGATTTATATGAACTATAAAAATCAATTCAAGAGAAAATATAAAAGAGAACTTTTGTTTGTATGCATAAATTACTGCCAGAAAAAAAAAAAACCAAATTGATTAAGTGCCAATTGTTCTCTCTGTTGTAGAAGATTCTATATAAATTGACTTAAGTATCTATCATTAGAACACTTTTTCTATCTGAATAAAGACTAACAAACATGGAAAAAAAAAATCATAATGAAACCATCCATGATCTTTTTAAGGATTATCAAACTAAATGGTAATTCTGATTGTAAATTCTACATCAAGTTTTGAAGATTAACATTGATGATTGATTTAACATATTAATGAAGCACATCTGAAGGTTGGTAAGAGGGATCTGTCATCAGACTCTCTTCTCCATTAGTCACCCTCATCTTACTAATAAAAGATTATTTAGTTTGTATTATAAGGACATATATTGTTTGAGTCATGTGGTATGCGCTGTAATCCAACCATGCACATTATGCATGCAATCTCGGAACCTTACACTTGACATGACTACTAATTCCCTATTGGTAGCTAAGATTTGATGGACAATATCTTCAACAAACATTTTAAATATTTCTTGCATCCATGGTTTGTTTTTTATTTGTCTTTCCTTTCACATTTGTGCATCTAACTAAATAAATCACAAAGAAGAGGACAGGGTGTGATCATGTGATGCCTTGAATTATTTGATGATGGTAGGTAGGGATGAAGTAAAATAGATTAATCTCATATTATTAATATCGAGGACTTTGATCATTTGACTTAAGATTCATATGGTATTAAAACCGATGTATAATGTTTGTGGTTATCAACCAGCACAGAACTCAGAATCTAACTAACTTTAGTCATTTTGATTCAATCATAATTTTGTTATCGATGAGTCGAATGATTTAATACATGATTTATAAAACGGTATTAATAAGGTATAAAATAAAAGTTATTTGGATGCTTGAGTTCAACTCTCATGATATCCATATCGAATGGATTCACTAAAACCAAACAATCAAACTATAGATTGAATCTTCCTATGCACTCAAATTCATCAAGATAAAGTAAGAATTCCAAGGACGGCCGGTGTCGCGAGTTGGCTTCTTCACATGGATTTGGACGCAGGGCGTCGTTTAGGTGCGCGTTGACTGCGAAGAAGAGGAGGTGAAACACGTGGAACACGTGGGCACCAGAACCAACCAAATCATTGATGTCTCTCGTCTTTACTTGCTTTGACAGCGTTATAAGATTTACGAGTCCAATGTGTTGTACTTTCGAACCCATTAGGTGAGGATCATAAAGCGCGATTTGAAGCACTCTGCAATCGAGGCATCCACGCGTCCCATTTGGGCCCCACGAACCCATCGTACAACTACATATCTCTATTATTGGCTCCAAAAGTGGAAACCCAATCTGCATGTGATTTAGGAACGTCTAATGCATGTAATTTAGGAACATCTCATCTAAATCTCTCGTATCATTAGCATTATTCTCGTTACTTAAGGGTATTTTATCTTTTAAAAATATTTATTATTAGGTTTACCAACGATATCTATATTTAAATTTTATACCGAGTACTCTTTTTTATTAAAAATATCTCTTTGTTACTAGCCTAGCCTAAGACCATCGGTACAATCACTAACATGGTCATCGCTTCCTATAAGACCTCTCACTCCTCCACGACTTTCAACATTATCGTCACTATCGTGCCTTTCACCTTGCATAAAAGGTCTTGACACCTTTGTGCATCACTCTTTACTTATCGTCTTCGTTCTTTGCTTCCATCATAAGATGACACTGTCTCTATGTAACATCATTCGTCCATGGTCTCTTCCACTCATTACGAGGTCTCGTGCCTCTAAGAAGGTAGATAACGAAGAATATAAACAAGAAAGAAAAGAGACGAAAACGAAAGATAAAAAAGGAGGAGACCGAGAGGGAAAGCGAGTGATGAGAATGGATAGATGGCATCGTCTCTTGAATGAAATCAACCTCGATGTATTAATAATGAAGGATGATACATGAGAGATGAAAATTTATTTTCATCACTTTTGATATAAAAATATCTCGATATAAAAATCAATTAGGGAGGCATCAACAGCTTAAAACCTAAAAAGAATTTTTTTAAATATACAGTAGGTATTTTTTTTTTATCAATTTATATATCTATATCAATGCGTTATCTCTCCATTTCGTATATAAATCAATATTTAACTCAAAAAATTATACTACAATTCCTCAATTTTGGATTATCCATAAACATAATTAATAATAACGCCAACCCATTCGAACACCACTCGATTTTACAAGCACTCATCCAGTAACTGCTTGACACGTGGGGCATTCGATCCCACGTGATTCACATTCCACTTCCATCCAAACCTTCCCCTTTCCGTAACCCATATATATATATATATATATATATATATATATATATATCAGTCGCTTGCCTTCTTGCCTTCTCCGTCCTCCTCGTCGCACCGCCCGCATCCCGGACCCGATCCCGACCGCTGCCGCTTCCCCGAAGACGGCGTCGCCCCTTGCGGTTCCTCGCCGTCGCTTCGAAAGGTGCGTGTGAATCTGAGCCGAACGTTTCACATGGAAACCCTTTTTTGTTCTTTAATGGCGCGCCTCATATATTTTTCCGTTTCTTTTCTGCTTATTTTTCTTCTTTTTCCGTTGATCGGAGGATGATGCAGTACTTGGTCTTATTGCCTGTTTCTGCCACCTCAGCTCGGCTCGTATGCGTCACCCGTGACTTTGGCACGTGCACGTAGCATTTTCGATTAAAATTTCAATCTAAATTATATAAAATTTTACACATAAATAAAAATAAATACTCCATTTAATCCTTTCATAACTCGAATTGATTCGAGTCAAGTCAAATTAATTCGGCCAATTTCATCCCAAATCAGACATCGGCGCAGATTGTGCCACGTAGGGGCGACAACAGGGCGGTGTGGGAATCTTAAAGCTAACTCCAAATTAAGTGTGATTCTTGATTTCCATGTAGTGCATGCACTATCTTCAATGGAGATGTATCAAAATCGATCAGAAATGTAAATTATTAATAGAACCTACCGAGTTATATTTCTTGACCATTTTGTTTGAATTTTCCTGATATTGAAAACAAAAAAATAAAAGCTTGAAAGTGGGCAGTCTTTTGCCCTTTTCCTATAAGCAATCAACATAAGATAGATTTGATCATTTAAAACATACATTGGGTCTTTTTCTCACCATTTGACCTCTTTGAGAATTGTGGTTACCTGATCATATCTTTAAGATAGTATCAGACAGAGCATGTTATGAGTTGGATTGCTGCTATGACTCTTGTAGCTATCCTTTTCATGTCCGGCACAATAGAAGAAGATAAAATTGGATCTATATGGCACATACATTTAGGAATACCTTAGAATTGGATCTTTTTATCACATACATTTAGGTCAGGTTAGGAATAGCTTAATGAGAATTAGGAGAGATATAGATTTGAGAACAGGTATCTAAATGGAGTTTAATAAGTTGGTTAGTCAAATTTGGTAGGCTCTATTCATTGTCATTCCTATCCACATGTGGAATTGAACACCAAATTGAAGGGATTAATCCAAACGCACTAAATTCCAAAGAGAAGACAAGTTTTGCAGGAATTGAAGCCTTGAGTTGATATAATTCAGGTCTGGTACATTATAACTACAACTAGAAGCATAGTACTTCTGTCATATGTGAATAATAATAATAATAATAATGCAATCCATTTGTTTATCCTCAACTTGCACTCACAAAGTGGCTCATCTAGTTGACTGATTCCCTTGTGATCCTTTGACTTAATTAGTCATCATTACAGAAAACCCCATTATGGATGATATGGATAAATGACAAGAATAGTATTCTTTATTAAGAAAAGAGATCAGTATTTTTCTTTTGATAGAATAGAAGAGGTGGCCATCATCTAACCAATGGCTTCCATTGATGAGTGAAAGGTTCACTTCAGAGAGGTGGGGAGGGAGATCCATCGATTGGACTTCCTGTGCTTTCATTGCCAAGTTGTGTGTGCTTGAGATGATGGCATGTTGGTATGATATATTATTATTGATTTCAGTCATAATTCTTCATTTTTTTTAATTTATTTTATTTATACATAATTCTTCATGTTGAGCATGATCCCATGTGTTAAAGTTTAGGATACCATATAACAATAAATATAATGAGGTTTCACATATGTCCCCTTTCAAAGTTTTAAAATAACATATATATATATATATATATATTCAAGTTTTTTCAAATTAAATATGTATCCCTTCAAATATTTAAGCCACTTACATATGTTACCTTCGTTATCATTCATCCAATAAACCATTACTAACCATGGTTACTAAAGGGTCTAAAAAAAATTAATATTTTAAAAATCTAAAATGTTTGTGATCTCTTTTATTCAATTTGTGATTTCTTATTTTCTAAACTTAAATGATAGGAAAAAAATCGATGACATTCAAATGAGCTCGAACTCGAATCAATATGACACGGTTAGAGTCCACGTGCATAAGAACAAGAACGATGAGGTGACCGACGAGAAAGTTGGAATGCAACTCAAACACACACTTAGTAGTTAACCTATATGGAAATCGAGGTTGGATGAGTTTTCAAATTTAGTCTCTTTGATGAGATAAATTAGACTCGATAAAGAATAGAGTAAATTTAGTAAAAAATAATTAATCTTGTTTAACATACTTAATGTAGCTTTTTATAATGAGTTAGTTAATAGGGGAAATAATTATGCAAAATGTTCCTAAACAAAGCATTCCTTTTGGAATGATGTGACCTGATTATTGATCAAGTTTTGTCTCTTATCATCAATTGACAAAGAAGATTTCTCCTATCACAAAATATAAAAGAACATATGTATATAATTTCTAAATAAATATTAATATCTATGGGAGTTTGAACTTTATTAAGTTGATGGTCAACCAACAGATATTTGACTATAATTACATATCCTTTAAATTTTTATCAATGTAACATTATATATGCAAAACTAAGATTTATATAGGTTTCCCTAATCATACTAATTTCATCATTTAGTTTACTCCAGCACAACACTTGCTTTATGTCTTATTACTATCATAATTAATCCTACACATTTTTCTCAACATACTTTCTCAACTTACCAAATATTATATAATTAAAATCTCGAATCCACTTACTAAATATTATAAAATTAAAATCTCGAATCCACTTACCAAATATTAAAGAATTCAAATCTCATCTGAAAATTTATTCTATCATTATCTATAATTTGTTTTTAAAAAATATTAGCTAATTTAGCTCGAAAAGAAAAAAATATATTACTTAATGTTATTTGCTAATGTCACGTGCTTATCATTACCCCCTCCCAATAATTGAGAACAGTTACGGCTGCTCCCACCATAGTCGTGGATGGGCCCACCTCACCCCTCTCCTCTTATCTCGTTACGGACAGCCTTGACTCCCTGCCCGATTCGTGTATCCTAATCCTTTTACCGGATGTACTAATTACGAGGGGAGATGATAGGAAGCATGACAGCAACACAGGTCGACATTGCTCTTCTTGTCCTTGATACCTTCCGTGAGACAGGAGACTGGTGCAACCTGGAGAATCCAACTCCACTCTTGTGTCGGATCCACAGGGCAAGGAAGAGCCTCTTCTACGTCCCCTGTTAATTCCATCCTCCGGAGGACGCAGCGTCCATGGTGAAGGAAGGACGAGAAGGGGCAGCGCCAGTGCTGGGGAAGTACGAGCTTGGGAGGACGCTGGGCGAGGGCAACTTCGGCAAGGTGAAGCACGCCAGGCACTTGGAGACCGGGGAAACCTTCGCCGTCAAGATCCTCGACCGCAAGCGCATCCTTTCCCTGAAGGTCGACGACCAGGTTAGATGACCTTCCTCTTCTTCTTCCTTCCTTCCTTCCGTGAAGTCTTCCTATCTGGTTAGTAACCATGCAAGAGATGCCACAGATCAAGCGGGAGATTGCCACCTTGAAGCTGCTGAAGCATCCCAACGTCGTCCGCTTACATGAGGTCTCTCTCTCTCTCTTTCTCTCTTTTCTGCTTCGATGTTTTATTGATGAGCGAGAAAAAAAAAAGGAATTAATTCAGAGAAAGTGTAGGAATTCTTTGGGATTGGAGTAAAAAAGAAAGCAATCATCGTTCTCGGCCTCGATTGGGGCGCGACCTCATAATGGACTCTCCCGCCAGCTGCCTCATCCACCGGGAGCCGAACGGCGCTGCTGCACCACGGCCGAGTGGGCCCCGCGTCAATAGTTGTCGGGGCCGTGCATCCAACTGACGGCTTTGAGACGTGGTCCTCATCATGATGGCTACGGGGCACCGACCCATCAGGGCCGTCCAACGAACGAACCCCTTACCCGGAAATGATCTGGTGGGGGCCCCACCCCTGCGTGAGTCGATTCGTGGCCCCTCCGCCACGAGCCCTGTCGCGTCCCACGAACGGTGTGCTGTTGGATCGAATGGTTTCAGTAGCAGTGTTGAGCACCATCTGTGGTGTCTCTGATACCACTCGTGGTGTTCCCTCAGCCACAACACCTACCCGTCAATCTAATAATCGTAATCTCATGCGGTGTCGAAGCACACGGGATTGGTTTTTCTTAGTTGTCTGTCGCCTGATAGGTTGCTGAGTGAAAGGATTGGTTGTTCATAGTTGGGTCCTCGGTTTGCTACAGTTTACTCTGCTTGACATGCATCTTGAAAGGGTGATTTCATGGTTTAACTTGTGACGATTGTGTGGTGTGACAGGTATCAGCAAGCAAAACCAAGATTTACATGGTCCTGGAGTTCGTTAATGGTGGCGAGTTGTTCGACAAAATTGTAAGGGACATGGACTGCTACAATGTGTTTGATGAATTGCTTCTGTATCGATTCTTAGTTGTCTAGCTTGTCATAGCATATGGCTTCTGGAATTTTATTCTTTCTTCCTTTGTCATCTGTGTTGAAGTTGAAGGGAAAGCTTTCAGAGGAAGAAGGAAGGAGGCTTTTCCAGCAGTTGATTGATGCTGTCAGCTACTGCCATGATAAGGGTGTTTACCACAGGGATTTGAAGGTAATTAGTCCAACCACACCAGATAGTTCAAAGAAAATACTTGGCCTATGTGGTCACCTCGGTGTGATTTCCATTACAGCCAGAAAATGTGCTTGTAGATGCAAAAGGAGACATAAAGATTTCAGATTTTGGCCTCAGTGCTTTACCTCAGCATCTTGGGGTATGTCATTCGTGTTCTTCACTGAAACATTCCCAGTAATCATGTTGCTTGGCTAACTTCTGCACTGTATTATAACCAGAATGATGGTTTGTTGCACACAACATGTGGAAGCCCAAACTACATTGCTCCTGAGGTCTATTGTGTCACTCTTTCTACAGGTTTACTAAATAATGCATCTTCCTGGTAATGCTCGGCTTGATAAGTTCTTTTGACAATGCTGCCAGGTCCTCTCCAATCGAGGTTACGATGGCTCGAGGTCAGATATCTGGTCTTGTGGTGTCATCCTCTATGTCATCCTCACTGGCTTTCTCCCTTTCGATGACCGGAATCTCGCTGTTCTTTATCAGAAGGTATGTGAAAATTCAGAAGGATGAGATGATGTTTTTTCTCAGCTACTGGCCAATGGTTCATTTTGATCTTTTCCCTTGCTTGGTTTAGATCTCGAAGGGAGAAACGGAGATCCCCAAGTGGCTCTCTCCTGGTGCTCAAAACATTTTGAAAAGAATTCTTGATCCAAATCCTATAATGCGAATAAATATGGCGGGAATCAAAGCAGATGACTGGTTCAAGCAAGATTATGCACCTATTGTTCCAAATGATGATGACGACGACAAAGATGTAGATAGTCTTTATGCTTCTCTTTGCATTAAAGAGGTGACATTGAACTTCTAATGGCACATGCTTTTTGTGCCAATTAGTACAGTTTTCGTATGATCTTGATAAAGTTTTGATTACTTGACTTTGATGGCATTGGTTGCTGAAGGGAAACAGAACCTTATTTTTTCTGCAGCATAATGTGCCAGATGAAGATAGAACTTCATCTAGTCATATCAATGCATTTCAGCTGATTGGAATGTCTTCATCACTTGACCTTTCTGGATTCTTTGAGAACGAGGTAAAAGATGTCAAACTGCTTCCTCAATCAGCTTTTCATGTCTTCTCCTTGATCTCCAAATTGCTCTCTCTACATGTTTGCAGACAGGCTAATTAGCTGTTTTGAAGTATCTTAAGTTTCATGTTGAAGCATTGCCAGTGCATGATAACCAAGACAAGACTTGTCATGTGCAGGATGTATCCGAAAGGAAAATTAGGTTCACATCGAACCATGCACCAAAACATCTGTTCAACAAGATTGAGGACATTGCTACAGAAATGGGGCTTCAGGCTCACAGGGGACCTGGCAAAGTCGGTACACTAACATCTTCGAAAGACCGTTTGATGACCAAATGATACTTTGGAAATCACAACTCTTCTTTTTATTATTGTTTGACAGTTGAAAGTTACCCAGAAGCACAACCCAAAGAGCCCCGGGAGCACTGGCTCACTCTCTGTTGCTGCAGAGGTACTCTTCCTTTCACTGAATGAGGGGATTAGTATTCTAATGCATGAGATTAAGGTGTCATGGTGTATGAGGTGTGCAGGTGTTTGAGCTGAGTCCATCTTTGTATGTTGTGGAACTGAGGAAGTCACAAGGTGATTCTTCATTGTACAGAAAGGTAGTACAAGTGGTTTCCTCTCCCACCTCATTCTTCATTGTACAGAAAGCTTTTGGTTTCCAACTGCTGGAAGTTTATGGACCTATGTATTGCAGATGTGTGCAAAGCTATCAGAGAATTTGGGTGACTGTTAGGGACAACAGCAGCTTTAGGAGGCCAAGATGTCAGCAGCCATGAAGGGGAGGTGCCTCCTGTTGTGTTGTAACCCAATGAGGCTTTGTAGCATTAGGTGCAGGAGGAATGTATGCTTGGAATAACTGAAAAAGTGTAGATAAGAAAGCATCCTTGGAGGATGCTGTGATGGGCTTGTGTTGGATACGGTGAGTATGATTTTCTTTTTTCCCTCTCTCTTCTTTTTAGCTTTAATTGTTATCCTCCGCAAAGAGGGGAAGAGTTCGCATAAAAAATTGTTTGTATTATGCTCCTCGGTAGCGAGGAGATTCATTCATATATGTGACGACCAAAGCAATAGTTAGTGTGCTAAGTGATTGATATCTCTTTTATATGAGCTAATTACATATAATCTTTAAAACATTCAGATCCTTAGATTTAAAAAAAATTATATTATAATTTTTATAGTTATAAAAATAAAACATGTAGGTCCATTTACTCTGACATCGTTGGTTTTACCGACGAAAACATAAAAATGATGAATAAAGGGATAATTTCAATATCGTTGGGGGCCGCAAATAATTATTGTAGATGAGGAGGAGCTTAGTAAAGACAAGTGAGATAAAAAGAGGGGAGGAAGAGGGTGACGCAGATGTCGATGCTTTTCATCTTCATCGATGCCGAGACAAATGCAAAGCGATGAAAGGACGATGGTCTACTGCGAGCTAAACATGACCTTCCTTTGTTCAGTTGGTGATACGTTCGTCCATGACACCAACTTCATCATGGCTCACCACATCCGCTAGGTCACCTATGCCGCTTGCCACTCCCTCGACACTGGCTATCGCATCTCTTATGCAAGTTCGTAGCGGGTTCACCCCCTTTATGCTTCTTACGACCCTGATCTTGTTGCCTCTCCTTTGCACTCTATTGTCTCCTCGTCCTCTAGCTCTTGTCTCTCCACTTCCGAGTCCACTACATCAACTCGGGCAAAGAAGCTCGTAAATCCTTGGCGGACAACCATAAAATGATGGCGTGGGATGGTTGAAGAGAGGGTGGAGGCTAAAACCGAATGATGGGTTTGCAAAGTAACGTCGATGCAATTGTCGAGTGACACTAATACAAATGCAAAGCGACACCGCTCTTCATCGCCTTCTTCCCCCTTTTCTTTTGTCTCAACTCTTGTCTCTCCTTCCTCCTCCACAACAGCCACCCATGGCCTCTAACGATGCTGTTGTCCGTCACCACCGAAAACGTAATTGAAATATTGAAATGAATTTTTTAGGATAAATTGATCTTGATGTTTTATTTTCGTAACCATACATATTCTAATATAAATATTTTAGGTCTATAGATCAAGATACTAAACTAGTCCAACTAGAAGAGGTAATATGCAATTAGCCGCTCTTATATTAGCCATTGGACTTTATTCACTTCAAAAAGGTTGGAGTAAGATCTTGGAGGAGATTGATGTTTCCGTGGGACAACTGCCTCGCTTCATAATCTAGCTTGACGTGATCGCTGGACACTCAAATCAGTTGAAGGTAAAGACGATCGATTGGGTTCCCTATCGAGTTTTCATCAGCCTTTGCCACATCACCTTATTAGAGAATAGAGATGATATTAACGGACCGAGGGATATATTTGTTGCCGTCGAGTAGAATTGATGACTTACAGAGCATCCGATCTAATGCCCACATTTTGCCATAGCTCTCACTCAACTTACTTGGCATTGCAAACTCGGAAGGGATGGCATCCAACAGCTTTTAACACAAAACAACAAGGAAAGAACATATATAATTAAAAATGATCATCTGGAATCCATATTTAATAATGTAACGTCTGTGAAGTCGAAAAAATAGAACAACGAAAAAAATCTTTGCAAATGAAAAGCTCATGTTTAAATAGGCCAGTAACTATTATGGCACCTTCCATTAACAGAATAACAGTGACACATACTCAATACAAGGAACAACAATACACAGATACCATATGACCACTGAGCCTGACAACCCAAGTAGATTAACAAAAAGCAAGGTAGAGAAAGTAGTTACCTGAATAAACATGCTCCAATACAATTATAGGGCAGAATGAAATCTGCACTTTATAACATACAGCAAAAAGATGTAATCTGCACCTTCTGGCTGGTATCCAAGACAGCATCATCCTATATGGAACATATTGCAAACTCTAGTTTACTTGGCAAGCTGCCACCTGTTTTTTTGTCTACAAGGGAAATCAGAAATCAGATCCGAGATGCAAGGAAGATGACATTTCCATATCGCAAACTCTAGTTTACTTGGCAAGCTGCCACTTTTTTTTGTCAACAAGGGAAATCAGAAATCAGATCCGAGATGCAAGGAAGATGACATTATATCGATGTGCATCTAAGTGCACTGTTTAAAGCACCCATGCACATTGATGTAGACTGCAGCTGCATCACCATGAGCAACTTATCCACACCATCCTCCTGTATCTTTATCATCCCATCAAATAACTAATTCCCAAGCAAACCACATAACTGCTTATTACTATCTGCCAATTTACATGATCAAGCAGAGCAGCAGGTACTTCGGTAATATCATCCTTAATGGTAAACATGTAATACTGGTCGAAGGCATCCCTCATACTTCAAAGTCTTTGACCGTTACTAAATGATCTATGCTCATCGGGATAAACATTCCCTTGACCTTAATTCACAGAATGTAACCTGTAAGGAACAAAGGAATCCCTAATTCTCCGAGGGCACTACAACTGTTTTAGCAGAGACATCTATACCATTCATTATATTTGTCTGCTATGGGAACACATCAAGATTTAGTACCGGCACCGGTGCCTGTATTCTTATCTGCATCTGGCAGATGGAAAGATAATGGCTTCCAACCTGATGAGTGAGGCGTAATCCACTTCTTCACATTAATTATCACATGCAACATCTGAAGAATTTCCCCCAAAACAAGATGATTCAAACATGAATTTCTCAAAAATATTGCTGCTTGATACCTGTAAAGAAGTAACAAATAAATATCATAGATGACAAGACCAGAAAAACAAATCAGAATCTTCAAATGGTTACCTGGACTGAGATCTCATGATTAAAGTGCGCCCAGCAGTTGAGGAGAGAAACTTTAAGGCTGCATCCCATGTTGTTTTTGGATGCCTAGCATTGATATCCATAGGATTGACACATCTCCACAACCCATGATGTTTTTCTACATACAATGGCAAGTTACCTCCTAGCTTGTGCATCACAACAAGTTGATGCTCGAGGGCATAGTTCAAGGCCATCTTAATGTCAAAATTCTGAATATTCATCTCGCCATAGCGAATGCAGTCAGCTATATTTGTTTCATTTGGAACCATTTTGTCAGCTTTTAAGATGTGCAATGCACGTAAAATATTCTTGACTGCAATGTGTGGCACCAGGCTTCCTGGATTACCCTGCAGTCCATCTTTAGACATATTGCTGTCCATGGCATTTGTAACTATAGGCCCGTGCATATGTTCCTGATACATTGTTTGTGACTTCTGCAGGCCATTATGCTCAGGAACAGAAATATTTGGCATAGGGTTTTTCTTAGAATATGAACCATTATTTTGACCACCACTAGGATCATCTGAAATACTAACCTTACTGATTTCAGGTAGACTTACCGGAGGAACTGATGGGAAGGTTGGCCCAGTAGTCCAGGTTTGTGGTGAAGTAAACGGTGGACCACTAGGTCCATTTGGAATTGCATAAAAATCATGGTTCTGAGAATTTGATGAAGACAAATTCCCAGGTTGAAAATTAGGGTGTGGAGGCAGTAGATCACTCGGCCTTAATGGCGGAGGCCTGTGTGGTTTGTGATTGTTATAAAAGTCTTTTCCATCTTTCATGGGGGAATCTGAATGAGGTGGTGCATAATCTACCATAGGCCCATTTGGAGACTGCGACTGATTCCCTTGCAAGAACTCATGGGAAGATTCATTAAAAACCATTGTTTCAGATTGGCGAAAATAGGTAGCTTCACAAGGTGGTTTTTGAGGAAATGACTGAGGAAAAAAATTTGAAGTATGGTTCAAGTGGGAGTTGTCATGGGATTTCATACTTGGTATCATTGACGTAGACATTTGATCAGGATTTTTCATACAGTTGTTAAACTGCAGAACATTAGTATCAGTTAGAAAACCATGACTTACAGGAGGAGGCTGCTTGAATTCACTGCTTGATATCGTAGTAGCTGTAGCATTGTTTGTTTGACTTGGATTTGGACATCTCTTGTGCTTCCCTTTGTACCGGTTATCGTATTTTCCATTACTACAAGTCTTTTGATTACCCAAATGCGCAGATGCAGAAGAACCAGTGGATTGAGTCAGCTGCACATTATCTGTAGTACTGCCATTAAATGTCTCTTTACTTGGTGAAGTGCCACCTGCTGATTTGTTGACGTAAGGTGACTCATGCATCGGCTTTCCTCCAGCCACAAGGTCCTTCCAGTTCCAGACACTCTTAGCAGCAGCAACAAGGGCTTGTGATACATTAGGAGGCTGTGCAAGAAGAATGTTGTATCTCCTTAATCTAAGTTGATGAAGGGCGTTTGAGAAGTCACGATCACCAGATATTAATAAGTAGTTGGCAGGTGCAGGATTATCAACTGCCCAAAATAGCATATCGACCAAAATCTTCTTATCACTAGCATCTTTAATACCTGCATAACATTTACCTAAACAAATTATAAACAAATCTACATAAAATTAGATAGAAGATGGTAAGACATTCAAAAATTAAAAGAAGCCATCTCTAAGCAAACTACACAGTATACTAATAATTTAAAACATCAACCACTTAGCACTTTATATTCTACGTGTTCTTGAACCAAAATGGCGAGCTTTCACTTAATTTTGGCTTAAATAATTGAACCTCAGTACCCACATTTGATTTGCATAATTCATCATGACAGACCAAACAAAACAGCAGCATAATTGCAACTATATGACACCATCAAACCTCAAAAATTAGCTTCAAATAGAATTAGAGGCACCAAAAAAAGTCTATCTTAGAACAAACCCTTCAGAGACCCACTATGGTTAGCAATCAACCTTATGCAATTACAATTCAAACTGCAAGCTTATTCAAATTATCATAGACCAAAACATGCAGCCGATATCGGACGGCATAAGAATTTCCAATAACCATTATTGTCAACATAATGACTAGTTATGGCAAAGAAATTTAAAAACAAAAGAAATTACTTCTAAATGATCGTTTATCACTCTTCACCCCTCCTTACACATACGGAATGGTTGCTGAGTATCATACTCTACCCAAATTCCCGAACTCTTTTACCATAAATTTGCACAAATTCCATATACTAACGCAGCATGATTTCCTTTTACTAAATTCTAGAAATTATGTATACAGAGGATCTCAACTGTAATTTTTTAACCTTAGGTAAGCATATAGGCTGGAGGGACATATCTCTTTTTCTTTTTCTCATCATGCATATCTCGATAGGGCCACATGTAAGCACGAGTAAATCTTTACAATCATGAATGGAGTAGAGATCATTACTGGCAAAAATAAGATGTTTTGGAAATCCACACGCACATGTTGTATATAAACTCAGAAAGAAGATGCTAGATATTGTATGACAATCATGAAGATGCTAGATATTGTATGACAAACACAAACAGCTTAAGTAAACATATGGTCTGGGATGATTATCAGTCAAAAAATACTTGTTTGCAATAAAACAAGGACCATAAAAATAACTTCCTTGAGCCATAATTTAAAACAAAATTTCCATCTAAACATGGGTTTGTTTCATAGACCCGATCTTTGCCAAAAAAAAGCTAAGCTGCCGATTATATCCACAAGAAAAAGAATTTAAACAATTTATCAGCTACTCTAAATGTTGCACAAGCTAAATAGAGCACTTCATGTACTTGGAAGAAGCAAAAGGTCGGATCCAAGATATTTTTAAGTCTCCTAAGTATATCCTGCAAGATTCAAGCACCTCTACACACAAAAGCATACCGGAAAATGCGCGCCAACAGAACAAGCACGAAGAAAATGCCCGACAAGCCGACGCCATTCGGAGAACAAGCATATATGCAAAGCAATGACGGACACACCGATCACTAAAATTATTCGAACGAGAAATGGATGCCCTAACCAAATTGCGCCCGAGAAACAGAGAATCTGACGAGAAAAGGAAGCAAGAAACAAGAATCATCCACAATCGGAGAACGGCGGTATCGGGATTCGCGATCGGATCTTTTACCGGAGGGAACGTGATTTAGGGCGATGCCAGTGCTGGAGAGCGCCTGCAGCACGGTCGGCGTTATATTGTTCGCGTCGCCGAAGGCGGAGATGGACACGGGGCCACGGTAACCCACTGCTGCCAGGGCAGAGCTTATGTTCTGGGCGATCAAGTACGGATCACAAGCCCTGGGAACCTGGCAGTTCTCGATGTCCCACCACACCGACGTCTTCGCCGCCGCGTACTCCCCGTCCGCCATCCCCGCCCCCTACCGCCTATCTCGCCTTCTTTATCGCCCGATCACCGGCGCGGCGTTGGAACTAGGAGCCCAAGGGCGACGGGGGTCAGCGGATTCCCATTGCGAAGGCATGGAAGACGATCGCTCTCTCACTCTCTCGATCTCCAAAACAGAGACATATATTTAACTTGGCCGGTCTTTTCTCTCTGGTCAAAAGTCGATCGAAAAGGTGTTAATTTATATATCGTATTGACTCATCGTCAACTCTAAACAATTTAACTCTGATTAGCTGTTTCTTTAATGTATAAAACAGCTTTTCGCCCAATATTATCGTATATTCAACGGGTCCCACAACAATCGACTCGTATCTGCGTCACGTTGTCGTCGGTTTGCTGCCGGCTGCACTCGAAGATGGAGCGATCCGTGCATGTGCAAGAAGGAAGAGTATTATTCCACGGGAGAAAAAGGAGTGGGGACGAATAAAACAGGAAATGATGTCCGACACGCACGAACATCAACCCGAGTCGTACCCCTGCTCAGCATAAAATGCGGAGATCATCATCTTTGTTCCTCCGTACACTGTGGAATTAATACGGACGGTTCAGATCATCTGATGCGTTCTGTGGGTCAATCTTCGGGTGCAGAAAAGGGTGCCGGTACACGGAAATGGAGATATGAATAATTCTCTTAATGTTTTTACATATCTGACCCTTTCAAGGTTTGGAAATAGTATATTTACCCTTGTGTGTATATATGTGTGTGTGTCCAAATATTAACATCCATTAGAAAAATATAATCTAAAGCTAAAATAAATATAAAATACGTAAAATGTAGCAAAATTCACAAAGGAGAAATATATGGTAGTTTTTCCAAATAAAAAAAAAATCCCAAAGGAAAAAATATACAAAATTCAGAATATGTTCCACCCACCGACACCTAAATCATAAACTCTAAAACAACTTAAATGTTCATACTTTATAACCTTCAAATTCTCAATCTCATTTTTAATTTTTTTTTATATTTTTTCATATATATTTTTAATTTTTTGTCTTGTCTATATCATTATCATCTCCAAAACTAGTGATTGTCAATGCATCATCAATCTCTATAAATTGAATATGTCAATTAATTTAGTCAAAGATATTAAATTTCATCATTGTCATTTATATTCATAAATGTTTGGAAAAAAATATTATCGACAAGACATGCTCAATTGGCATCCTTACACGTATTTTGACTTTTCTACCCTCGGAAACCTTTCGAAGTGAAAATAAATAAATAAATATCATCTATCCATATTCCCTATTAGTATTATTATTATTATTTATAGATTTTTTATCTGTTTATGTGTAAAATAGTTTCGAACCCACTTTTTCTTCTTTTCATTCTTCATTCTCTGCCTCTCCATCAGCTTCTCTCTCATCAACGTCACTGAGTCCATGTCGTGACGTGATGCCGACACTCTCCTCGTCCGTCCCTATGCAGAAACCTTTTTATCGAGAAAAGAAATAAAACATCATATCACTACCAATAAATATGTCCTCCTCCTCCTTATCATTATTGTTATTATTTCCCCTTTGTCCTCCGTTAGCACTTACTGCTCGTCTGCAAGTGTAGTAGTACAAAGTTGGGCGTTGATGACGGAGGTAAAGTTTGGAGGAGTCGTGCAATCTTGACGTGGAAACCACCAATTGAGGTCACATCCTTTTTTTTTCCCCTCTTTAATCATTCCTCGTTACAGCTTTCAGCACCGACGGCTTCGAGAGCTGTGCTTTTGTTGACATTTCCTCCCCACCCCCCACACTTTGGTTAGTGGCGGCAATTGAGGGGAGCTATTTCTCCATTGTAATTTTTCATGGGATTTATCAACCCAAGTCATACAAAATACATGATGTCCAAGAAAAGAACAAGTAATATTTTTTTCTACAGACAATATATCATACATGGATTCATCGAACAAGTTGTGTTGGTGGTGGAAGTCTGATGATGCATTGGATCGTACTTTTCTTACTTTGCTAAAAAGCATAAAAGAGAACACGGACTCACTTTAATCGTCGGCCACATCCAAAAAGATTCCCAACACCCCTGATGAACACATATTTGGCTGCATCAAGCACGGTTCCTTAACGAGGATGGCAAGACATTACAAAGCGTCTCTGAGAGGCCTCACTCGGATCTACCCATCATCCAAGATGCTTCCATCTTTCCATGTCAAAGATTTGTGCTGTCACGAATGAGCTGAAAGATACATGCAATATGAACTTGACCATAATTTTCTGATTTCCACGTTTGAGTCTATCTTGAAATCATGTCCAGACCTTTCATGTTGGCACTCGCTTGAAGAAAAGAGAAGAAGAAAGCATGAAACACCCAATCCTAAGAACTCACAACATACATGAAGCATGGATGAGGTTTTATCCACAAACTGTTCTCTTTCCTTCCCCATCCAGCCCATCATCTGTAAAGTAGCACAATAATTGAAGAGTTAGCAATAAGATGTTGATGATGCAATGTAAGATGAGTCTTGACAAGTGTAGCAAGAGACACACTAATTTAATTAAAATTATTCACTATTTGTTCAACACATTCGATGGCTGCAGCCTCTTAAATAAGCATGAAAAGGTTAAAGGAGGGCTCCTTCACCTTAGGGGAGGGGTTCTTGTGAGTCTCCGAGTCGAGACAGATGAAGGTAAGCATCGGTTCCTGCAAAAAAGGTTGCGAAATGAAAACCCCGTCAGTGAAAGCATGCCATATACTGTATTAGAAGCAGTTAATCTTTAGGATGTATCATTTCCTTTCTCCCAAAAGGCCACTGTCAAATGCTAAGAAACTCACAGTGATTATTAACAAGGAATTTGTAAAATCTGTAGCAGCCTTCTTTTCTGTGTAGGTACCTCAGTGTAACTCAAAACACAACTTATCTCTTGACCCAGGCCAAACACAGATCCTACATCCAAAGGTGTTGAACCTAGAAAAGGAGCCACAGAAACTAAACTTGTGACATCATTTAACTTCTAATTCACAAAAAAAATAAATTCCTACAAGAAGTCAAATGTCGATAAGGTGCCGGGACAACTGGTCATCCGAGGTCCATTAATCAAAAGCTTATTAAGACAGACAAGCTAATTCGGACCTGCTTAGTTGACTAGGCCAGTATGAATTTGACACAAAATTATGCTCATACGTGGATTTTTCAATCTCTATGACCAGAAGAAGTAAAGTGATACGAACAAAGAAGAACTGCAGTGATGCCACTGAATACTCAAATTAAGCAACTGATCAAACACTAGATAGCTGTTAATCACACAACGAAAAGCAGTCCTACGTGGTAAATGTGCCAGTGTTGAAGTAGCACGGGAACCTGTAAATATGCCAGAGTCCTACCAGAGACAAGGTTGGGGTATCTAGCACATTATTGTCATAAATTGTTTTCTATATAACACTAGATCTGATCTGACATATATTTCTGTCACAGAGTTTGATGGTTTTGCATGAACTGTCATGTACTTTTGGAGCATATATTCCCATGCCCCCCAAAAAAATCTGAATAGGAACATGGGTATACGCATGTCGGAGTCCAAACAGCTCAAAATGAACTTGATATCAAGTGTCAAGCTAAACAAAGACTTGGACTTACCATATCCTTCCATAGAGATTATTTGCAAATCACCACCAAAATATCGAGCATAGAGACGACTAATTGGAAGCCCATAACCGTAACCAGCCATAGTTACTCCATTCGAGACTCCACAATAGTCTTCATCTAGTGGATTTTTTGCGGTGCTATAGACATAAGTGAAAATCTTTGCAAGGCCACTTCTTGGTATACCACCCCCTTCATCCGATATCTGCAAAAATCAATGACAGATCAATATCCATATTATCGCAGTGGTCAAGAAACCCATTAATTTTGGCTGGGAAAACCCAACAGCTACTTTGGTTAATGGTTTGTGAAAACTGGAATATGTAGCCATAGAAAATTATACATACAGAAGAGAATCAAAAGTGCAACAACGAGGAAGGTGTAAACAAGAAATCGAACAAGAGGGGAGACATGCAAACTGATAATAAAAAGTATTAAATTTCATAATAGAGATTTATTTCCAAGATTTTGGAAAGAGACTTTGCACAAATAAGGCACATGGTTATATTTCATTTGAAAATGAGATTCAGTTTGGAGGTTCACCACAGGTCATCACAACAGTTTTACATGTTTTTTAATCATTATATAGTCAAATAAACACCAGAACATAGTAAAAGTTTCTTGCATTATTCCTCGTTGCTCTTTGAAATTCTCTGGTGGGAGAGCAACTTGGTACCTCCGGAAGCAGTGAGCTAGAATTTATGAAGATGTATTTTCTGGAGGAACACTGCCTGTTTTCATTTTCTGATGGTTTACAACAGTTGGCAAAAAGGAACGTAACTAATCATGCAATATAACTTGGCTTGATTTTACTTCATACCTTCTTTTGTTATGTCAGTAACGATCAATGTTTTTAAAAGCGTTAGGCACCAAGGTCCCAAAATGTTGGAGGCACTAGGCACCTACTTGAGTAAAGCGAAGTGCTCCAAAATATTAAAATATAAAAAATATATGGAGGAAGGCGAGGGAAGGAGAGGCCAGTGAACGAAGCGGCGGACAAAGGCGGCGTCAGTGGAGGAAGCTGCAGACAAAGGCAACGGCAGAGGAGGAGGCTGCAGACGAAGGCGGCGACAACAAAGGAGGAAGCTATGGACGAAGGTGTCGTCCATAGCTACGAATGAAGGGAGCGACGGTAGACATAGGGTTCAAAGATAAACCGTGTTGGGGGATTGTGTTAGGGCAAATTAGTTGATTTGATTGAACCAACTTGCTTGTTCAATTGAACCAAGCATGAACCTAGACCCATCTTCACTTGGGCACTCGCCCGAAACAATCGGACGATGCTTCATCGAAACACCTCGCCTGAAGGTTTTACGAGACGCTCGGGCCTCACCTTGCCTTGCCCAGTGCCTAGGCGAGCGCTTGAGCACCTTTTGAAAACACTGGTCAGGACATTAGATCATGAGGTTTTACGACATTTTTTAACACATTTGAAAGGACAAAAAAGTATACCCAAGAAGACTTGACTAAGCCATCAATAATAATGATAAACATTTTGTGAGAAAATAAATATGTAGTTGTAGCAGTTTGAGGTAAATTTGGATCTCAATTTCTATGTTTTAAAATAACTAAGCATAAGCAAATCTTCTGCATTATATTCAAATACTGCAGCTTTCAGAGACTATGGATGAACTTAAATGATACAGGAGTATAGAGGAAGTTAACATGGAGTAACTAAGTCATAAATAATTGATAAATTTGTTCTACTAGTCTCTTTCTCAAGCCACCAGTTGCTTGATTACCAGGTATGAATAGGTAACTAACAGAAACTGCAAACAAAAGTGACCATTGGAGGCATACCTTTATTGTAACATCCTCTATCCCGTCAGCAACAATAATTCTAACAGGAGGGGCATCCTTGTCAGAATCCATGAAACGCTCTTGTACTGCACGCAGAGAGTTCTTCACCAACTCAAAGAGCATAAGATGCAAATGTGATGGAACGTACCTGGTTTAGAAAAAGTAGTAAAAAAGAATCAGATAAATTCATGGTGTGATGGAAAGTTAGCACACAAAATGTGAAAAGTACATGAATAAAATTTCAAATTCATAAGGTAGAACAACATTTAGAATTCGTTATTGTGAAAATTAGAATAACTCATGTAGCAACTTCTGCAGCTTTTGCTTGTATGGCAGATATAGCAGGACAAATTCCAAAACCTATTCAAGTTTAGCCTGTAGGGAATATATAGCAGGAAGGTACAGCAGTTTATCAAAAGATACAGCCTAATTATGAGTTTGCTAACTTACATACTACAGTTATATAAAAGCAAGAACACAGAAATGAAACATTGACTATAATGCTTACAAAATCAATGGCTACAAGTTATGGCAATCAATGACCATAATGAATGTACAAGTAACACTTACGGAAAGGTGAAATTTGGATCGCCATATATGTCAACCTCAGGAGCACTCCCGTACTCCCGGAAACATATACTGCGGGCATCGTCGCTAGCAGTTCGGGCCACTTGCATTGGAGAAAGTTTAGTGTTTATTTGACCAACACATCCTGGTTCTGGATCAGGATCGTGCAAAGCTACATGCTGCCCTGAATTTTACACAAATCAAAGATTTCCTTATGGTTGGATAAAGAATACAGGAAAATCATGCATGGATCTGTTTCCATGTAAACTATACAGCAAAATGGAATAAAAAGCACGTGTGGCATTAAGCAATTGGCAACAGGATTGATGCTGACCTATAAGCATACGAATCCCAATTCTTGACATGTAAAAACGGTCGAGAAATTGATGAATCTCTTCAAGTTCTTTTGGCACGAGCTTGCGATTCATGTCTCTCTTTAGCTGCTGTACACCTAAAGCCATTGCTGGTACCACGTTGTTATGCCTCAACTTGATCATCTTGATCAACTGAGTGAAAGATAATTCATCATGTGGGTCTTTGATTTTTGGAAAGGATCGAAGATCACGAAAAGAATCTAGATACCAATCTCTGACCTTAAAAGGACAATGGAGATATCAGCCTCAACAAAGATCTTAGATTTTCATGTTAATATGACAAGCATACACTGCTGGTAATGGGATTTGCAATTTATGTAAAGAAAGAAAAGGAAGCCGAGAAAGAAAGCAAAGAAAGTATCAACAATTCATTAGCAACCGCAAGCATTTTATAAAAATACGGCGCTAGAGACCCAAAACTACTTAAGAGAAAGCAGTAAATTGCTCATCAGACCACAGGAAATATCTGCTATCACCCATTTTTAGCCGTGTCTAACTAGGCGTACAAAAAACAATTGTGCCGTCATGTCCCTGACCTTCCACTGAGAACTTTGTCCAAAATAATGCAGAAGTCTCATTATACAAAAAAGCAAAGAATACTGCTTTTAGTAATGCACCACATAACCATGTCTGATGCGTCAAGAACCAAAACCTTCATCTTTAAATACCACTAAGTGTGGGAGAAGAAGAAATGGAACACACACCCCGCATCTAACTCATATTTAACTACCAAAAGCATATGAAAGAAAGCAAATCCAAGCAAGTGATTACAAAGAGAAAAACGAACTTCACAACCAGATACTGTGAAGAATCAAAAGGAGAATCTTTTCAACCAATAGTCTTAATGCCACATTAATCTCAACTCTCAACCAACTTCAAAGTTGTCCTAAATCGATCTACAGAGTTCGCTTAAATCGCTGCAGAAGCCGAGCCAAATCGATGCAACGATTTCTTCCGATATGCAAATCTGGAACTTCTTTTACAGAGAGAACGAAGATGCCATCCTTGGATATTTCATGCCCAATAATCAAGTTATGACTACGCAAACGGCATAATCCAGAGGTACCCTACGTTTATTATTTCTCAAGATATCAAACCCCAAGAAATCCCAAACACCTGTGATCAGAATACCAAAACAAACCTCAGATTGGAAGATCACGTGTGACTAAAAATCGATTTAGTGCAATCTTGCAATTCAAAATGCCATTTTCCCTTTTATCCTGGACAAAAGAAAAGGGTAGATTCCTGACACCTAATAGCCTCAAAATTTCATCAAAGATCCTAACTGCACCAGCCAAAGGTAAGACAATATTCAAAATCAAGAACCGTAAACGCATCTATCACTAAAATTCGCATGGAAAACCAAACGGCGCACAAGAAAAGCAAGGATCCAAATCCACAAACCCGTCCAAGTGAATAATGAGCACCTTCAAGACGGCCGGTTTGCCGGACAAGCCAAGGGGCAGGGACTCCAGCTCAATGGCCCTCCTGGCGATGCGTGCGGAGAGCTCCTTGTGGAGGAACTGGGCGGAGAGGAGGAGGTTCGTCGGGGTGGGGCGGGCGCCGAACTCCATCATGTAGCGGAGGCTCACCCCGTTGCGCTTCATGGCTCCCCAGCGCCGCACCTCCTCGGCCAGCGCCTTGGGGACGGACTCCGCCGCCTTCTTCGCCGCCATACGGCCGAGACGCTCAGGATCGAGGCAACAACGAGGAGGCGGGAGGCGGAGGAGGTCCCCAAAACGCAGGCATCGGGGACGGAGGAGGGGGGAAGAACAACGAAGAAGGTAACGAGGGTCGCGTCATTTTAAGTAATTTTGACCAGCTTTTAATTTTGACCCTTGGTCTTTTCGATATTGGCATTATACTGACGTGGATTGCCGTAAGGATAGCGTCGGAAGGGTTTCGCCGCAGGCGCCGTCTACATGCGTCGAGATTGGTGAGAATCGTGATCCTTTCTTTTCCTGATGCTGAGTCACCAATATCGTCGTGGATTTCTAATATATTCTTTTTACGTTTTTGTGTGTATATATATATATATATATATATATATATATATATATTTTTTTTTTTTTGTTTCACGAGTCTTTATTGCTCATGCTTTTTTTTTCTCATGTATATGATATAATATTCATACTTTCATAAGTATAAGTATAAGGATTTCAATATAATTTTTTAAAACATAAGAATCAAAATATTAGTCATTCAAGAGAAATCTTCTTAGGGAAAACGTTTGAGTTTTCCTATCTTTTGGTGTGTTCTTAGATCCTAACATTTGAATTCTCATTTCGTAGTAGACATATACTAATCAAAATCCCAACCCTATAATTTGACCCAATTGAGGGCAATGAAGTCTTTTCGTACCGCCCAAACAAAGGAGTAATAGACAATACGGCACCTCGTGAACCGCCACGTGTCGGTCATCCTTCCGGCTACTAGAGGACCAAATTTGGATTTGCCGCGCGGTTTTGGTTCGGCCGGGCCAAGGAGGCCCCGAACCCGAACCATAGCTCCGGAAGGTGACCTATTTATATGCGTCCGAACCAGGGGATGCTCACTTCAACCACTTCCCCTGTCTGCGAGTAGGAATCGATGATCCCGAGCTCGTGCTTTTGAAGAGGAAAAGAGAGATTTTGATCGCTCCGCTTGAAAGATCGAGTTTGAATCCTTGTTATTGCTAAAAGATCTCATCGTCTTTCCCGGTCTGTTATTCGATGTAGCTTCCGGGACCGGAGGAGACGCTTCTGGTGCCGAGGCGCTGATGTGTGGGTTTCTTCCTGGGTCCCCTGACAAGGACGTGGATGAGATGGGTAAGAAGGGGAAGTGGTACTCAAAGGTGGAGCTTTTCTAAGGATTTACTCTCGATATTTCGGAAGAAGCACTAAGTTCGTAGATCGACTTGAGGCTTTGGAGGTGAGGTTTTGATCGGAAGGAGTGAAATAGTCTGCAAAGTTTTAGTTTTACGCGGGTTTTGGGAGAGAAAAGTGCGGCTTTGGAGGTGCAGTTTCGGCGAGTTGCGGTTTGGGTTGATGCCATTGAGGTAAGGAAACGCTCTCCTTGTAATTTTTGTGTTAGAGAGATGGCGGACATGACGTTGCAGCTTGTAAGGACTCGCTATCGATTGATCTCGGTTCCCCTTTTGTTGAGATGCTACTGGCCATGATTCTAGCAAAGTCCAGAAAAAAAAAGTTTAATATTTGTTTCATTGTGAGTGTACGGAATTGTTCTTTTGCGTCATTTCGGATGTAGATGCAGACCACCGTTTTCGCTTTGAACTCCGCCAGGGGCCCAAAGCCGGACGTTGGCGTTTTGAATTCGAAGCAGGTTAGGGTAAACTGTAGCCATTTGTTGCCTAAATCATAGTGCGACCCCTATGGTTTACAGAGGGAGATCGAGATTCTGCCCAAACGTGACTTCTTTCGGACCCAGTCCTTCGCAAGTTAGGTCGGGAATGTGCTGATGTCTACCACGGACACGGTAGAGGCTTCGGCATCGTCTTCATCAGCTGTAGAGTTCGACCCGCTTCTCAAGGACCTGGAAGAGAAAAGGTTGAGCTTCAAGAGGAACGTAGTTTCGTTGGCAACGGAGCTGAAAGATGTCCGGCGTCGGTTGGTCTTGCAGGAGCAGTTGTTCGCGAGAGAGACCCTCACGAGAAAGGTAGGTTTTTTATCTTCTTGATGCTATGAGTGGAATCGTACGACGCTGTGGTTTTCTTGCAATCCGAAAGAAAATGTTTTGTTGTCCCTGACAGGCAACAGAGAAGAAGGCGAAGAGCATGGAGGAAGACATAGGCCGGTTACAGATATGCCTACGAGAGAAGGATGAAAAGCTGAAGGCATCTACTTCTGCTAGTGTGGAGGTGCAATGCTTGGGAATTTCCTTGATGTTTTGCTTTTAATTCTAGTCTCGAAATGGTATTAGGGCTTGTTAAGTTTCGTTCCTGCTTTCCTTTGGTTATTGGATGCTGATATTTTTCTGATTAGTTGGATCTATTTCTGTAAGGAAGGACCATATGTGATGTCGGGTATTAGAGTCAAAAGGATTGTTAATTATTTGCTGGTTGCTTAGAAATTTTCTCCTATTTGAACAAAAGAAATATTATTTCTTAGGGCTGACGAATTGAGATAAGTCTTTGTGTATTTCTTGCCAAATAACTTAGATTTCGGTACACACTGTCGATTTATCATTTCAGTTAGGTACACAATTTGTGAAGACAATTTGCTTATGTAAGTATAAATTTCCTGAGCTTTCTGATAATAAATATGTATAATGCCTTTCTTCTTTGCTAAATATTTGCATATATAGGGCTTTGGGCTTCGAGTTTAGAAATTGTTTGATTAAGGCTGTTAGAGCTTGTGAGTTTGGAAACCAGATTCTAGCAACTGATAATAAATTTACAGTTGGAGGTGATACCACTTATGTCATGCAATTGAATACACATGTTTGGATTAAACAATTTAGCCTTGGTGTTATTTAGTGCATGGACTCTGATTTGGTATTAAAGTTTGAACCTAAGGTACTACAACTTAGACAATTAAGGGTATCTTTGGCTGTGTTCTCGAATACATGTTGTCTTTTTGAAAATGAAACAAAAATTATACTTGTTTGGATAATGATTTTCTGTTCTGTCTGAAAACCATTCTTAAAACACCATGCTACAAGTTTTATTGGGTAGACGAACCTAGGAATTTGTGAATTTGATAAGCTAACCAATCCAAAATGAGTTTTCATACCCAACATTTTGGACATGTTTTGATTGGTGATCAGGGTTGCACATGTTGATTGGTATAACAATATGGAATTAAGACACATGCATGATTTTAATGGATCTAAAGTGAGGATTGATCACTAAAACTTTAAGTCGGGTCTGGATCAGGATTTTGGTTATTGAGCTTGTAAAAATGCTTATTCTCACCAATTCAATATTGTTATTATAATGTGGTCATGATATGCACATGTATGATGTATGTAATACATGATATTGATATAGTTGATACACTATATGAAGTTCTTATGGTGCGTAAGGCTACAAATAAATCCCACCATGCATGTAAATACGTGGATGAGTCTAAGATGGTTGGGAAGTGTATAGCATTCTATTAATTGTGTCAGCCCATCCCAGCAAACAAATGCAACTTCTTGGTAATGGAAAAGAGAGGATGAGTTCTTTTGTGGTTTGAAGAAGTACAAGGGGCTTATCTGCTCAGTTTGAATTAATTACCATTCTCAGTTGGACATCAGAAATGATTATCTTTGCTCTCCCATGTACTCTGTCTTCTCCATTCTCTCCTCAATATCTCCATCGCTGTATCTAGCCGTTTTTGGCTTTTTGCTGCCATGCACAGAGCCAGGTGTATTCTCTATCGTAATGTCTTCTCTGCGCACTTGGTCTTTGTGTTCATCTCCTTATTTACTTGATCCTTCAGATCAATATTTGTTTGTTATCTCTTTTTCTTTGACATTTGTGCCTTTCATCCTTCCAGCTCTCCTCATTAAGCATCAATGATGAACACTGCTTCTGTATGGGAGAGATCAGTTGTGGTGGTGGGAGAGCATACCCTCAAATGCTTAGCAGTATTTTATAATTCTGGTGATCAATCTCTTTCTTATTTTTGAGCAAGCCCATTTTTCCTCTTCCAATTTTCACTTCTTGCCAAGATATTACATTTTCTTTTGTTGGTCCAAGCACTTTGTTAAATCAAATCTGGTTTTTGTTTGAGGAGAGTCTTGAAATCCATTATTGGCACACAATGCTACCTCAAAATTTGTACTATTCAATTTTGGCCTTCAGTGAATCTGACATCTATAATAACCATGATTTCTAAAGTTGGCTTGGACATTTCTATAACTATGATTTCTGTCAACTTCATGAGTTGGCATTTAATGGGGGTCACCATTGTGTAAGTTGATCTGCAATTTGAACCTTATCTTTGAATTGGTGTCTTCCCTTTGTGCCTTCTACAGCATGGAGGCTATGCAGCTTCACTTTGCAAGTTTGAAGCTTGGGGAATGAAGGGTAGTTCATTCATGCACATTAGAAAGTTTTTGCCTGGCATTGATCCTTCATCACTATGTCTGTGGAGAACTTAGCATTATTGCATGAAGAATTAACCAGGTTTAGGTTGGTGCTTTACGACCTTCACCATCTTACTCAAGTTTAAGACATTGCTTGTCTCATGCATTAGCCTGCTCTGTGCAATTTTTTTTTATTTTTTTTGTGAAATCCTCTAATATTGTTTCTTTGCATGCAGTACATGAAAGATCTGGATGACTTGAGATCTGAACTATCAATTACTCAAGCCACCTCAGAGGCCAGTGCTGCATCAGCTCAATCAGCTCAATCCCAGTTTTTGGACTTGTTGAGAGAACTAGATGAGAAAGATAGTTTATTAGCTGAGCATGAAACCAGAGTAAATAAACTAGGGGAACAAATAGACCTTCTGCAGAATGATCTTCAAGCAAGAGAGCTCTCTCAAAGGCGGCTTAAGGATGAAGTACTGCAAATGGAGCAAGAGATAATGCATGTAGTTAATGTAGCTGGATCTAAAAAGGATTGTGAGCTCAGGAAGATTTTGGCAGAAGTTTCCCCAAAGAACTTTGAGAACATCAATAAGCATCTGAGTGCAAAGGATGAAGAGATCGCCAAGTTGAGGGATGAGATCAGGATCTTGTCAGCACACTGGAAACAACAAACCAAGGAACTGGAAGCCCAGGTTAGTCTTAGTGAGTTGACTGCAAATTCTTGTTTGCTATAGGTTTTTTAGGACAGAATTCGATATGTTTGCTTATTTGGTATTTTTCATGGGTGCAGCTAGAGAAACATCGTATGACTAATGAGGAGCTGAATGATAGGATAATCAAACTTGAACTCTGTCTACAAGAAGCACAGAACCAAATGCAGACACTTCAGAAGGTTTTTTTTTTCCCCCAATGTTGAAAATTCTCCATCATTTTGTTTGTTTCCTCTTTTATGTACTTGATATATATCTAATTGGAGTTTAAGCATACTACTATTCAGCTATCAGATTAACTTGCCTCAATTCATTGGCTGATTACATATGTTTTTTCCCACTGTTTTCACTTGCAGCAGAGTGTTATTGATCGTAGTGGATGTTACTTAATGCCTTTATATTTTACATTCACATGTGCAGTTTGAGATTGAATGGCTGATATGTAATCCTCTTAGCTAACTGCAAAAGAAATGGAAAGATCAACACTGGTTGCCACGTCTAAATATATATCCTTATGCATAATAAAAAAAAAATTGTATTCATTGGAATTCTAGCTTATCTGTGCTTCAATGATTTGTTGTTTCTTATGGTAAAATACTCTTTTCAATCAACTTAACCTTGTAATGTAAAACCTACAATTGTAGTTCCCCATGCCATTATTTGATTTCCGCTTAAGTATAATTTAGCTGTCTACTACTCACGAGTGAAAGTTACAGCATTTCAAATGTCCCATTTATATGAATTGGGATTCATGAAAGCCAAAGATATATATTTATTTTGTATGTTGCAAATTTATTATGCTATAATTAGCTATAATATGCTGAACCTGCCACATAGAGAAATTTGAAGAATGAACAATCAATATGAGCTTTTAAAGCTAGCCCATAATAACTAATTGTTTGAATTGTGTAATCTCCAATTACTGGCATTGGTAACTCACCCAAAGCTAAGCAGTATTGGTTGAGATCCTCCAGAGAGAGAGAGAGATATCTCCTATGTTACCTGTACCATGTGGAGGTGTCGAAGTAGTTTCATAAGAAAAACCAAACTCTGTCTTACGTAAGGTTGCCAAGGCTCAATTCACAACTCTGATCATCAGACATTCTAACCTTCAGACTATTAAACAGATTCTAAGCAACTTGTGGATTTGATTTTCCATTAAAATTTTGTTAGATTATATAGCCTTTTCAACTCTTGTTCCATTTTATTTGTATTGTAACATAGGACTTTCTCTCACTTAACAGATGGGAAAGAAAAGAGACAAGGCAATAAGAGAATTAAGAGATGAATTGGTTATGAAGCAACCAAACTCTGCATGTTGCGGCATTGAACTGAGCTTTTGGGAGAATCCAGGATTCAGGATTGTTGCTTCCATGGGCATGTTGATCCTGGTCGCTTTTGCAAGCCGATAGATCATATCAAACTTTTTTTTGCTCCTTGTAGATAGTGTTGGAAATTTGTTTTGGGAAGAGATCTTTTGTGTAGGGTATATTACAAGAAACAATCTCATGGACTTAATGCTCACCATTTTGATATCAAAATTTTTCTTCTTTTTGTAGCTACCCTCATCTGACCATATGATTCAGATGGTTCGAACAATATCTTTTCTGACTCCATGTAAAGGGTGTTTGAAACTTTGTTTTGAGAAGAGATCTTTTCTGTTGGGTATAGTTACAAGGAATGGTAAATACTAATGGACTTGGTGAGCTCCATTTGATGTCAAAGTCTCTCTACTTTTTGTAGCTCAGAGGACTACCCTTGTCACACTATCATCCAAAGATGCACTCTACATTTTGTAGCTCAGAGGACTACCCTTGTCACACTATCATCCAAAGATGCATCTGACCATGATTCAGATGGTTAGAACTAGAACTTTTTGGCTCCATTTTAAGAGTGTTGGGATTTTGTTCTGAGAAGAGATCTTTTGTGTAGGGTATATTGCAATGAATGATAAATACTCAATGACTCGATGATCATCATTTTGTTATCAAAGTTTCTATTCTATTTTTAGCTCAGAGGAATATCCTTAGTTAAAACTATGATTCATAAGTGTATCTAACTTAATTATTATCCTTTCAGCATATACAATATGACTTAATTGCAAGGATTGAAATATCGTATCATATCGGTATTTCGAGCTTGGCTCGATATGATGGTCTTGTGTATCGAGCGGTACGTCAGGGCGTACTGAGTGGTATATCTAATTTAGGTGAAAATCCTCCGAAAATACATGAAAATAAAAAAAATAAGATAAAAATTTTTAAATTAGAAATAAATATAGTAATAGTATAAGCTTAGTAAAATCAATGTAAATTAGGTAAGAATAGTATCATATATCTTTTTTGGGCTCTGAGAAATAGTGTTGTGTAAGGTTCTTATTTTAGTTTGTTATGGATTATCTTTTTGTAAATATTGAAATATCTACAGAAAAATCATTTGAATTTTAGACTATTTTGCTACAATATAAATTCTAAAATTCAAATGAATTAAATAATTACATATGTAGATATATATGATTGTTGATTCTACTATCAAAACGAACAACGAGCCTCCACTGGTGGTGGATCGGGGTCCTCGATCATATACATATGCATATCAATACGACATGTTTGTTGGACCCAATCATGAAATTGATCCCATGACATAATATATTGATACACCGTATGCCATTGATGCATCAATGTAATGATGATCATAAGTTGATCGTCATGAATCACATTTGTTCGAGGTAGCTCCTAAGGCATATATTGGTGAATGTCAGAGCTTCAACTTTCGCTACTGATCTACTGCTCTGTATCATACTATTGCTCAGAGAAGGATGACCAACTATCACCGTACTGTTGTTGCCCGTATAATTCTCTATAATACGATGACTGTGAATACGATGAGCTTCTTTCTGTGTCTATATCATGCATGCTATGTCGCATCTGCTCAAATTCATCCACTGCCTTCCCCTTCCACTTTTCCTTCCGCGCATAAACTTGACCAGTACCTTGTTGAGTTCTATGATCTGAATCTTGGGTGACATATGTAAAATATTGCTCCTCGGTCTATGCACCACCCTCAAGTTACGTAGACGATACCAACGATTAGCCGGCATCATTGCCATCACCCGTCGAGGCATTGCTGTCTGTGTTGCTATCATGTCTCTGGACTGAGCGAGTTACTGATTGTGATTGTGAAGGTGTCTCGTCGCCCGACTCGATTCTTTCTAATAATGCGACTGATGCTATTGCCTTCCTCTTTGTCTTTGCACATTGGGTGGACGACTGTGACCGTTGGGTGTCTATAGTTCCTCTAGCAGCTTGACTCGATGTTGTTTGACTCCTACCACGTTGTGATCGAGGGAGATTTTCCACCTGTTGGGGTTGTGCTTCTTCTTCTTTTATTTCCTTGGTGATAAAATGTGAAAGATGCTGAGGGTCTCCTGCCTCATCAAGTAGAGGATCCTTTTGGTTTTCTGCTGCTTCAACCCAATCTAACATCACTTTGAATTTTCATTGTAGAATTGGAGGTCGATGGGATCAATATATGGTTCCTCTAGCTCCTTATTTAGCTCAGTACATCACAATCTTAGTCGCATATTATAATGGACATATACCAGTGTCTCTGACCGTTTGTAGGAGAGTTTGTTGCGGACTTTTGTGTGAATCAATGCAAACGTTGATCAATTATGTTCGTAACCACTAGATGTTGTCGTATGTGAAAGTACACGAACGACAACCTTCCTTAAATATGGTGTATCCCCTCCAAATTGTAACCACCACTTAACTGCAAAAGGATATAAATAAGATTTTATTAGCATAATAAATAATTAATATTAAATATAATTGTTAATTAATATTTGTAACTTTTACTCACCAGGATCCATAATGTAACAACACGATATAGCTACAATATCAGAAAATGAACCAATTGTTTCTAGAAATAATCGACCCTCTATAAGAGCATCGGTTGCATTAGTAATCTTTCGCAAGAGTCGATATATAACATTTCATAGTGCCGTTAGTAAATCATTTTACGTTCCGAGAGCATACCGATATTGAATTGTCAGATTTAGATAATATGCTACAAGACAGTTTTGTTAGTATGATTTTTTATTATCTAAAAAATAATAAATTAAATTATTCTAAATATGAATTTACCTGCATTATGGATATCTTGATCTATATGAACTTCGGTCCGACGATCAATGATCCGTACATATTGGTCGACCTTAAAATCATCTTTGAATGTTTTCCTGACCTCTTCTCTTATTGAAATCAACATATATTTAAGATACAGCATCTGTGGATACTTATTCATATCAACCTTATGGAGAACAATATAAAGTAGTTCCACACTTTGTATGATTTCTGATCTCCCAAAATCTAGAAGAAAGAATGGACTTTTCTATCTTCTTTCCATCACTCAATCTCGAATATCTAGAATCATACAACTCTTGTGAGGTGGCCATTTCCTTCAAGCTATGCCTTTTTTTTTACTGTAGCGACTTTAATGTAATAAAATTGGTAGCAAATCGAGTGATTCCAAGTCGAAGGATCTCACTATTTATATACTTTTGCATTAAAGCATGGACCCAATGATGATTATATATAAACTTTGTAATTGATTGTGCTCGAGCTACACAATTCTTTATCGCGTCTAGCTCACCAATATCCTTCAGCATTAGATCTATGCAATGAGCTACATATGAAGTCTAAAACAAAGTTTTTCTTTTTTTCCATCAATTGCAAACCAGCCTTCTTGAAATTCGCTCCATTGTCAGTTATTATTTGGACAACATACTATGATCTGATCTCCTCTATTACAATATCCATCAAGCTCTCAATATAGTTTGCATCTTGAATCTTTTTAGAAGCATTAACTAATTTATGAAACACCACTCTTATGTTACAATAAATAAGAAAGTTGATGATACTAATTCTTGTTGGTCCTGTCCAACTGTCACACATCAGTGTCACCCCATATTCATCTCATTGCTTTTTAAAAAAATTGATCTAATCCTTTAGTTCTACCACCTTCTCATCTAAGTACATGTCGTAAATCTCTTTCGGTGTTGGAGGTTGGATCCCCGTGCCAAACTTTTGAATAGAAGAGACAATGCTGTGATAATATGAACCTTGGGTTGTGTTGGCTGGAATCCTATGGAAGTTAAACTATTTTGAAGTTGTCTTCCCAATATCCCGCTTCTTTTTTTTGCGTATGTATCATCAATTAGTGTTTGTTTCGTTGTTTGTGGGGGATAAGCTTATGGATCAATATCAACAATATCTAGTATGGACCTTTTACCAAGACCTCTCATAAAACCACAAAGTCCACCATATCTCATGCTAATACTTCAGCCTAACTGAGGAGGAGTAGTTGGCTGTCTCATGCTGGCCGACCTCTGGATTTCACTACCACTGCCATGCTCCAACTATGAGTCAGGTCGTCGATGCCTCATTGCTTCATTTACTATATACTGATGCTCCAATGATGCACGAATCCCAACTATGAGATCCGGGTCGACTTGATGGCCACAACCCTCATACTGATCATAAACTGGTTCCTGCGTAACCCTATAATATTCTTCCTCAGCTCTTGCCTTCTTTTTTAATGTATCTTACTTTGCTTGTTGTAGCTTGCTTTGAAATAATTTACGGATCTCCGTCGGAACCTTCTTGCATTTTATAACATCAGGATACTCACCAACTAAATGCATCTTCACTTGAGTTATTCCTCCACCCTTACCAATGTAGTCATAATAAATACATTGCCAATGATGATGATTCTCGTCGATCTTTCGAGCATGAACTCATGCATCATCATGTGATTGTTCCTTTGGTGCCATGATCCTACCAAATTTAAATCAAATAAGCTATAAAGTATAAACACATTGAATTGACCAAATATCGATAAAAAATTATTAATCGTAACATTAAATAGTTTTATTAAAATATAACTAATCCTATTTTATCATCATAAATATGTTACATACATAAAATAAATATTAAATATATAATTTTGATCCAATATGAATTAAATTATGATAAAAATCATCATTAGATACACTAATCACTTGATTAACATAGTTAATTACCCACTAATTACTTCTCTTTCAATACTATAAATATGTCAAATACCCTAATAGGTATTAAAGATATTAAATTGATCTAAAATTGAACGGATTTTGATTAAATCATGATTAATCATAATATTAAATAACTTTAATAAAATCTAATTAAACTTATTTTATCATTGTAAATATGTCAAACACATAAAAGAAATATTAATTATGTAATTTTGATCCAATATAGTTCAGATTACGATGAAATCATCATTAGATACACTAATTACATAATTAACATAGTTAATTACCTACTAATTACTTCTTTTTTAATACTATAAATATGATAAACACCTTAATAGGCATTAAACACATTAAATTAATATAAAATTAATTAAATTTTTATTAAATCATCATTAAAATGACTAATTACAACATTCGATAACTTTAATAAAACTTAATTAAACTTATTTTACTATTATAAAATAATAGTAAAATCATAGTCTAATTTTGAATTAATCAATATTAAATATACTAATCATAACATTAAAGATTTTAATTACTCTCTAATTAAAGAAAGAGAATATATATTTTTGATTAGAAAGTTCTTCTCTTAATCTTTCTAAATTAGCTTCGATTCAATTCACAAATAGTTGTTTTGTAAAGTTTAGGAGAGCATAAATGTGGAAAAAAAAAAGAGTTTGAGATAGTTTAAGAAAGTATGAAAATGAAATGAAATGAAATAGAATGAAATATAGCACAAATTTACCCGTTCGATTATTACCAAACGGTAACGGTCAAAATCGATTGTTACTGAATTGTGCCGAGCGGTAATGATCGAAATTTCAATCGTTACCACTTGGTATAATCCTGTATCGTCCGATATGGTGCATTTTTAAGCGGTCCGCCCGATAACGAGCGATCCGCGTATTGATAAGCTATCGAATCGGTACATACCACCCGTACCGAGCGGTATCATTCAAAATCGTATACCTTGTTTAATTCAAAGGTGTTCATTTAATACGGAGGATTTGATGCTTGTGTACCCCCAACAAATTCTAGAATTTTCATAAGATATTTCATTTTAAGAAGGAGGACTTGATATTGGATTCTTCGTGAAAGATTCTTATTAGGATTAATTAGCTTATTATTTGATAGGCTTATGATTTAAAAAACTTAAGCTAAATTAATAATAATAAATTTGATCTTTATAAATCGATTCTAATCTCCTCTTGCATACGATGTGAGATATAAATATTATAATTTTTTTTACTTAAGGTTTAATATTTAAGATTCAAACATAATCCAGAATAAAAAGTTATAGTGGAATTGACTCATTGGATGAACCATGATTTATAAATTAATAATAATTGATTAATTTAGTTCTAATATACCACCTCAAGTTTCCTTTCCTTTGACATCAGATCAGATATGAAACTGTGATGATCCATGATCTATAACTTGATAATAAATGATTAATCTAGTTCTATCAACTCAAATTTTCTTTCCTATCTAACATGAGATTAAACTGGGCTGTAATATATAAAACATCATCCCTACAAGTCTAATTTTAGGATAAATGTTGGGGAGCATTGTGTGTCATCTAATATAAAACACTGGGGGATGGATGACCTTAAAATACATGCAGGTAGGATTGGGTTGGGAGCATTTTAGATGCATGTCTTATCTGGTAATGCAAACAGGAAACCTCAAAGAGTGAGACAGCCATTTTTAATAGGACACCATATATTTTGATTCTTGATTAGACCAACTAACAAACATTTGGCTGATATCTTTTGGATTTTGCATCAATTATAACATGAGACAGACACATTGCATCTGTTAGACTCTGTCTCTTTCCAATTTCCACAGTGTTCTTCACTCAACCTAAATAAACAGTTCCATGGCAGGAAGAACTGATCCAAATTTCCAATCTGAACTATAGATTTCTTATTCTGAATTAATCTTGTTTACTAATACAGATACAATCTGATCGATTTTTCATTTTTAGAGTTAATTGAGAATGATAATGAATAAATTCATCCATTCTCAATTAGTTGAATTGTTTTTAGGTGCTACAAAGAAAGCCCCAAAAATCTTTTCATCTTTTATCTAATAATAATAATTATAAAATAATAATCTATTTTAAGTGGGACCCACCACTATGTGATGGATAACGGATCCCACGTAAAAAAAAGGGACCCACCCTCCCCGACCACTCACAGGTTGTTTATTTTACCTGCCATTTTGCACCTCTAAATTTGCTTCGTAATCGTATGATATACATACATACATACATACATACATATATGAGTGGTGAATTAGACGTTATATGATCTCTTAACGGCCAAAAGAATTCTTCTCTTCGAGACATCTTTATATTCCCAAAGCCTATGAGCTATAATGTCATTGAATTCTTGCCCATATAACGTTACATACGTATACGTACATACGATTGGGGTATACGGTGTTCTTTATGTCGCCACCTACCCCTGTCCGCGACCCACTTCCGCACCCGTTTGTCTCATGGCAAATGGTAGCGGAGAAGGTGAGTGGGGGCCGCTCGTTTGTCTCATGGCCTCGCCGTTTCGGCCGCCGCTGCTGCTGTCGCTGCCGACACTGCGTCATATACCGCCACCCCCTGCCGCGGGTCGAGGAGAAGGGCCCATTGCGGCCGCACCAACCGTGGGAGCCCCCCTTGCCACCCACCGACTACCGTGCGATCTCCTTGCTGGCCCTCGGAAATGGTCTTGTAGCTTCGCCTGTGCTGGGTGGGGCCGGCGTCGGTCGCGTACAGGTCTTGCTTGCGGTGGAGCGGGGGAGGTATAAGAGGCAGCGGGCGAGGCGAAGGGGGAAGGTTGTTGCTCCGCGGATTGAAAGTGGCGTGACTAAAGGTCAGATTTTGGAGGTAGGATGTGTATCGAATTGCTTTTTTGGATTGGTTTGGGTGTCGCAAGGGTTCTGAAATTGGAATCTACGCATGCTGCTGGTGATTACAGAAACAGTTTCTGATCGTTGCATTAGAATGGTAGATGTGTGGCCTGACTTGATTGGGAGAAGCAATTGGGGAGAAAATAAATCTTTTTTAATTTTCTTAGAATTTATCACCACAAGGTGTTCTTCATTTGCTTCTTGTGGTAGAATTTGATGATCTAGATGTGCGTGTAATGAGTTTCTTCTTCCGATTTGCCACGATCTTTGTTATCCATTTGATCTTACTGAATTTGGTGTGAAAATTTAGTGCAGGTGTTCCGAAATTTGATGCATTTGCTACGAAATTTTTGGCTTTTGATTTCGTTATCCTTTCCCATCTTAAGCTGTTATGAGAGATGTTGCAGGATAGAGAGGTTCTCTCTATTCTTTTAGGATTTCTATATACGGTTGTAGTCATTGTTTTATCTTTACATGTCCAATTGATGTTGCTCTGACTTCTTGTAATGGAGTCCCTTTCTTTTTGTCTAAAATGAAACTGGAGATTTATTTTTGGTCATTTCTGGCATTCATTCAAAAGTTCCTTTTGCATCAAAGTCTTCTGTTTCACTAATATCATGTTATTTCCATTTCTTATAGGGAGTGTGCCTTCAGAAATATGTCATCACCCAACACTGCTCTTGCTGAACACCTATCTCAAAAGATAGGTCCTTTTGGTCTTAAAATGTGGGAGATAATCGGTATCAGTTTCGGAGTTCTCTTGTTTTGTGCACTATTATTGCTAGTGATGTGTGTCTGGATTCAAAACCGGAGAAGGTATCGAAGGGCTTCAGGTTACCTGCCCACCACTCAGATACCTGCATTTTCAAGAGATATTAAGGAAGTTCCAGTTGAGAAATCGATAAAAGATGACTCTGCTCTTCTCAGAATTTATGATGGCTATAGTGATAATGACTCAAATAAGGGTGCAGACATAAGCAAGTTGGAACATGGTGACAGCAACAGTGACTCTGACTCATTTCGTTATGTTGAGAAAGATTCAAGCTCCAAGCCTGCTGAAGCGGGAAGCACAGGGATAGTTGATGTTAATAGACAGCATTCTGCTCACCCTTTGGTTGCTCCTTCACAGTTTGCAGGCCTTCCAGAGTTCTCTCACCTAGGTTGGGGTCATTGGTTTACCCTAAGGGATTTACAAATTGCGACCAAATGGTTTTCCAAGGACAATGTTCTTGGGGAGGGTGGTTACGGCATTGTTTATCGTGGGCAGCTGGTCAATGGAACTCCAGTAGCAATCAAGAGACTCCTCAACAATTTGTAAGTTTCACACACTTGATGTAGGTAATTTTGCAGTTCCCTTTCAAGGGTGTGATTTTGACAATTCTTTTTTTTTTTCATGGATTCTAGAGGCCAAGCAGAGAAAGAATTTAGAGTTGAAGTTGAGGCCATTGGTCATGTTCGTCACAAGAACTTAGTTCGGCTCCTTGGATACTGTGTGGAAGGCACTCAAAGGTGAGCTATCCTTTAATGTCAAACTTTTATGCTCTTTTAAAGCTGTAACTTCCACTAGCTTTAACTATTTGGCACTGAAACATAGAAATAAACCAAGTGCATCTAAGATATATTTTTTCCTCCCTGAACAATTGCTCATAGTCATCCCTTTTTTTTCCCTTTGCTGTCTAAGTTTTTCCAGATTTTTTTTAACATGTGATGCTATACTCCATATTCTGAGCCATTTATTTCATGCTGCCTAAAAACCATCAGGATGCTGGTTTATGAATATGTCAATAATGGAAATCTTGAGCAGTGGCTTCATGGGGCCATGCGGGAGCGGGGTTCTCTCACTTGGGATGCTCGTATGAAGATTATTTTGGGAACAGCTAAAGCGTAAGTGAATCATCTGAAACTTGCTCTCACATTTATCCAAATTTACACTTATAGTTGAAGGGCATTTTTTGTTCTCTGGATCTTGATGAATTTGAGTCTTTTGGCAATGATTAGTACTCCATTCTGAAAATCAACTCAGTGTATGCATATGTTTCTAACTTGAAGTACATTTTGTTATTACCTATACAAGTCCAGGATACTTTTTGAATTAACCTCTGCATCCTATATATGAATATGCCTTGTCCATGATAAATATTTTATCTCTTCTGAGAGTAGGTTTTGTTTTTTGGTTGGTTGATCTAAAGATGTACTTTAACAGCCTGGCCTATTTACACGATGCTGTTGAACCAAAAGTAGTGCATCGGGATATCAAGTCCAGTAACATATTGATTGATGAAGATTTCAATGCCAAAGTGTCTGACTTTGGTTTAGCAAAGCTGCTGGGTGCTGGGAAAAGCCATATTGCTACTCGAGTGATGGGTACTTTTGGGTAAATATTTAGCTGAAACATTGTGCAACTTGAATCTGTTGGATTGTTTGATTTTCTCATTTAATTTCAAGGCATAGTGCAATAAAAATGTGAGCCAGTGTCATTGTTATTGCACTATATTTGCAGATATGTGGCACCAGAATATGCGAATACTGGATTTCTTAATGAAAAGAGTGACATCTACAGCTTTGGCATTGTTTTCTTGGAGGCCATTACTGGGAGGGATCCAGTTGACTATCGTCGTCCTCCTGATGAGGTATGAAAACTTCTGGCAGCTAAGACAATATTAAAATTCAATTTCATGGTTTAGATGTCCAAATAATATTATTTTTATCAGCAGCTTGTCCAAGGGATAATCTTTTACTAGTACAGCCATTTTAAGCACCTTAAAAACATTAATTTGCAAAGAAGTTTTAAAGATTGGCTGGTTATGTTTCAAAAACTTTCTTCATTCACAACCATCACAAATACAAACAAAAGAGCAACAATGATCATCCTCCAGTGCTAATTTCAAGTTTTTGACTCTCTACATGCACAAGTGCACAACTGCAAAAGAACTATAAACTTCTGGTGCTTTAGTGGACATCAATTGTCCATTCCTGACCTGGCTTGTCGATGCTAATTTTATAAGCTTCTGGGAAAGTGTTGGTTTCTATCAGTAAGTCCTGATATTTTTAGTTATATATTTTCTAGTCCATGTTGATATCTCCTTATTTTCCTTTAATAAGTTTTTTTTAATTGTAAATTGTAAGAAGAGCATCTGATTTAGTATTCTTTTAATCTGTTGTCTGTAAGCAAGCCCTGTATTAAGCATATATGATGAGGATTTTTATCCAAAGTGTATGATGTCTACTGTAGAGATCTATTCATGCCTTGAAAATATCTCACACCTAGAAACCACCTAAAATGTCAAAAATTTCTACAATGGTAATTTGGTCTTAATTATCTTGCCATGGTATATCTTGAATTTACATAATTCAATCTTGGATTAGTTTGATCATAGTCTCCTTGTGAATTCAATCTTGAATTCACATCATAGGTAGGTCATTAAATATTTTAAAAAAATGAAACATATACAGGAACTCTCAACTCAAGCTAGACCATCAAGATCTCCATCAAAAGCATGGGAACTCTCTTGCAAAATGTACTCACCAATGTCCAGCATTTTTCCCCCACAAGTTTCCACATCTTAAAAACATCTTTTCATCCCATGATTGCAGGTAAATCTTGTTGACTGGCTTAAATGGATGATTGGCAACCGCCGTTCAGAAGAAGTGGTAGATCCAGGCATTGTTACTAGACCATCTACTAAAGCTCTTAAAAAGGCACTTTTGACCGCATTGAGGTGTGTCGATCCAGATTCAGAGAAGAGACCAACAATGGGCCGGGTTGTCCAGATGCTGGAACCTGATAACCCTAGACCACATCAGGTTCGCTTTTCAATCTCTTGGTTGAATATTCAGTGGCCTATTATAAACCATAAATAATTGTATAGGAAGTCATGCTATCAAGAAATTTGTAACACATTCTTGGACATGGTTGTCTTGACTAAAACTTAAACTCATTTATATTTTTTGTATTCAACAGCTTCTCTGTATGTGTAGACTTTTATCTAGGCAATACAAGATAAGAAGTCGCTAGCGCAACATAAAATTTTAAATCACGGCTTTGCATGGAGAAGTAGCATACACTAATACTCGGTTCAAAATATATTTATGCTAGCTCAGAAGCCACACCTTCCATTTGACGCATTTTTCATGGTAATTTTTCGAAGTTTTAGCAACTAAACTTGCTGCATCATCTAATAATCCTCCTGGACCATAAGTTTTTAAGGTCACAATAATGTTTTCACAATCTTTCACTGTCCTGGATCATCTCTCCATAAATAATTGAGTTAATGCTGAGATGACTGCTCTGTGATATAGCCTTCTGTTCATCAAATTCTATGCATATTGACCTTGATGGTTGTTAAGAAATCTAGAGTTGCTTTATAAAAAGAAAATGTAAGCTAAGCTGGAACAGTGCGAATGAGAGTTGCTATATGCCAGTAGCTATAGTTTTGCTTGGTTTAGAAAAAAATTGTATGATCCAATTGCATTCTGAGGTTTACTCTTTTGGGTGTAACGTCATCTTTACTGTCTTCTGCTATTCTTGACTGCATCTTTTGTTTGTAAATTCATTTCAAAGCTGTGAGATGTATTACCTGGCAGTTGTGATATTGTTGACTGTATTTTGTGTTGGTCATGTCCATATTCATGTCAATTCAATAAACTCCACATTTAACATAACCTTTTATGATGTGAATTTTAACAAATTCTTGGAAATTTAACAGGACCAAAAGCATCGACACGAGAGAGCTGGGGAAATAGAAGTTGAATTACAAAGGAAGAATTCTGACACAAAAACCAAGCCTGATTTTAAATCCAACAGAAAAAAAGGCAACGGCGAAAAATGATTGGAGAGAAACTATTTATGCTGCTTTTTTTTTTTTCTTCTTTTCATTGATTGTTGCTTTAGTGGGCATTGGCTTTGGCTTGAATTCAAAGCAAGAGCTGGAAAAACCAAGGAATTTCTTTTATTGGTTTCTCAGTATTAGGTTTTGGAGTGTATTAGGATAATTGTGTCATCAGTCATGCAGGTATGTACAGCATATAGTTTCAGCAATTGTAAAAAGAACTAATCCATGAGTGTCATTGTGACTGAGAGATGCTGTGGTGATTACAAACTAAACCATGTCTTCTTTAAGATAAATATCATGATGTCACAATGAAGCTTGAATCTCCCTTGATAATCGAGTCTCTGTGTAGTTGATTGTAGAAATTGAGTGCTTGAATGAACCATAATTTGCACCATTTTTAAGTGCAAAAAGGTGATTTGAGGCTTTGATAATATTAACAGAGGCAAAATTACATACATATACAC